GCCTAGTAGATTTATACTAACACTGAATAGAAAGATGCACAGCAACATGGAATCTATTTGTTAACTGTGTTATTAGCTGGTATTTCCTAATAATAATATCATTATTAGCTAATGAAAATAAGAAAAAATTATGATATTTTGCGGTGGGTTAATGTTGCTGATGGGTGATATAGTGGCTAAATGCTCAGACTCCATAATTAATTATACATGTCTGATGCCCTTCTCTTCCTTTTCCTTCATGTATTTCCACCCTTGTTTTAGATCTTGTTTGGGAGCAGCATTTTGTCTAACTATATTGTAGCTCATGAAAATGTGGATTATTTTTATATTTAAACATATCTTTTGGGTAGGCTTGGCAGCTTGACAAGTACCTTATTTTCAATTCTGGTACAGCATGTCTAAGTGGTTAGGGTGCCAGACTTGAACTCCAGAGATTTGGGTGCAGGAATGCATTCTACTTGATTTAAAGTACATTAGTACATCTATTGGGCTGTTGTCACATTACTGTTTCGATGCCTTTTCTGCCCAGTTGTTTACTGGGCACCCTTCACTTATAGCCCAGGGTCAATTGTTACTCCAGTCAACATACTGGACAACAGGCAACATACTCGATCTATAGTTCTTAGGTTCAATGTACATGATACCACAGTATATTTAATGCAGCTTCTATTGTTTTTATTGACAGAAATTTAAGCCTCCAAAACCAAGATTCCAACCATTCCCTCAGGTATGGTACAGATGCATGCATTTGAAATAAAATCAAAATGTATTGAGAGGACATTTCAAGGAATGCTTTAATGTTAGCTTAATACAGGGTGTCTATCTAATACAGTTCCCACAGAGCATGTTCTATTATGTGTCAATAGGTATGCCAATGTATGTTAGATACTTTTCAGGTTATTCTTGGAGCTACAGGTACATTGCTGTGTTTGCAGCTTTTTATTTATTAAACTGGGCTGGAAATTGTTTGAAGTCAGCCACACAGATTGATAATGCAAGGTTCATGTAATCCAACTAGAAGAAAAATATGTGAACCAAAACAACCCACTCAGACATGAAACAGGTCAAGAAATACGTTAGTTAGGGGACCCTCTACCAACTGTGGTAAAAAATGTAAGAGAATTATCTCATAAACTGATAATCAAAACTCAAAATTATTCTATCTAAAGAATCTGTCTATTTGTAATGCTTGTAATTAGTTTCTGGTGCTTCATTATCAGACCAAGTCGATTACTGCAAAAGGTCTGCCTTTATGTGATGGCAGTAATTTATGAGCTATGTATCATGATCAGCCGATTGTAAAACCTTGTCAGATTTTTATTGGTACCTAGCCTAGCCTGCAGAACAGGGGGATTTGTGAGGCAGAGCGTGATACATGAGTGCAGATACATGAGTGTGGAGTAATCTGGGCTTGTGCATCATGCATGTATAGTGCTGTACCCTTCTAATTTTTCTGTTCTGCAGTCGAATTGTTATTAAGCATGTTGTGTGGTATAATCTAAGTATATGTTCACGTGTCTAAGTCACATTTTAGGTGTCTGTGTATGCTTAATATTGAGGTATAGTTTACAGCAACTAGAAACTAAGGAAAATAAGTTTGGGAGCTTGGCGACGGTCTGGTCAATACCATGCAGGTTTGACTGTAAAACACTAAAATGCACATCACATCTTCTTGGCCTGCCACCGTCATTTTGTACATAAACTTCTATATGTACTTTACTTTTGTCAAATGGCATCCATGACACTCAAGGTTAGGTTTGAAGAAGTGCACTGGAGTTGATAATTGATTGTCTAAGGGAGGACCAGAATTATTTTAAACAAGCACACATCTATAAATACTCCTTTCCCTATGCTTTTTACATGTATTATGTATTCTTTAGGTTTCTTCAATTGCAATCTAAATGCAGTAAGTAAGAAACCCTTTTTTTCTTGCTAGGTTTTTCAATCATTTGATTTATTGATTTTTGTTTTTTAGGATGAGGAGTTGAGATGCAAGCACAGGTACATTGTTATTAAGAACATAAGTTATGAATTATCAAGAAAAATGAATTGATTTAGATATTAATTTTATTTAGTCTGATGCAAACATGACAGAAAGTTTGAGGGTAAACTCAGGCTGCAGGCCACTACAAGGTCTTCTCAGGGTGCTCTCTTTTTACCCTTGTGAAAGGAGGGCTGAAAAGAGAGGGTCCTGGCTACAAGACTGCGTGCAAGCAAACATTTATGACAGTTTTAATAGTACAAACATAAACATAAGTAAACATACCCAGACGCAGTGAGATGTTGATAATTAGTACTTTTTGTAGGGAAATTGTCCTAACAAAGGGCGCTACTTACCAGCACCTTTGTGCACCTGCGTTTGTTGCTTATTTATGCTTATGTGCTAGTGAAAACTAACCTTAACATAAGGGTCGGTGTCTCTCCAATCCTGCGCTTAATTTTCATGCTGGTTCTTTTTCGTTTCTGGGAACGCATTTCACCCAAACAAGTCATGGTGAATTACGATTTTTTTTGTCATATTGCTTCCTGTAACTGATAGTTTTAATTCTTTTTTGTGTAAATCCCTTTTACATGTTATCAGTCGACGTCATAGTTATCTTGATACACCATGGGATAAGCTGTACTGATCTTAATTTTATTTCAGAAGTGAGCCTGTGGATGCAAAGTCAATCCAGCCCTCTTCACATGAGTAAGTACATGTATTAACATAAAGAGACTGTATAATAGGGTTGTAATGTTCGACAAAGGAGAACGCTTGCTAATCTTATGGGTGTCCTGCGCAGTTTTTCGTTGTCGCCTTCGTCCATGACGTCACATTTTGCTTACGCGATCATGCGGACGACCTCGTCGTAGAGACAGGTAAACAAAATGGAGGGCTTTCTTTAAAAAAGGAAAGTCAGAAGGTTTTGGCGTCTCGAGAATTGAAAGAACGTTGATTTCACATCAGGATTGGTGCCAGATTTTTTGCTTTTTACTTGAAGGGTAGAAAAATGTGGCCCTGGAATAAGTTCGGAAAACAACAGTCAGCTAATTTGAATTGCGGATAGAATTCACGTGATCGTTGATAACGATGTTAAACATTACCCTGGAACGCGCCAGCGAAAATACTCAATAAAGTGCAATACTCAATAAAGTCAGCAGCGAGCAACTTAAGGGTACATGTCCTAAAGTGGACGATCAACTCAAGTCAGCCATTACATGTTGAGCAATACTCGTATTATGTGATCGTCATCGATATGCGCCCTTGTAGATTCGCGTATTCTCTTCGGAACGCACTAGCAAAATTTGGCAGAAAGTGACCTTGTGTTTGTCGGCATTATCCATGTGCTTAGTTTGACAAACCACTGATCAACTCAGCCATTGCACTAAACAATCCAGAAGAAACTGATTCTGTAGTGCTTCTTGTTATATGAAGTCAAATCTAACTGAAACTAGTTCGTGTGTTCAGCAGACTAACTTTATTACGAACGCGCTTAATTTCTCTGTGATTACTGCTTGTTTTTATTGCTTATCTTTTGTTGATGTGGTAAATAAAAAAGAGTACTGAGAATTTAGGATTTAATTGAGTCAGTCCATTACTGAGCGCAACTTACCACATCTTAAATGAACATCGTGTTGTAAAGTTATGTGTACCCTGTACTTAGCTATTCTTAGTTTTGGAAAAACAAAACCAACACGATGAACCATTCTCATACCGCCATATTGTCAATTGAAATGTTTCAGTGCTTTTGAGGGAATGCGGACGGCAGATATTATTCGACAAGAGATTGAAGATCTTGAAAGACTCTTGCAAGGTAACACGGCCAGAAAAAAAAAATTGTTGATTAATTCACCTTCACATTTCATTACCGAGCTTAAAATTCACCATCTTTATTAATTTATCATAAACTTTCCAGTTGTTGACAAAACGTGGGTTTAGCTCTTCCTCTTTTCCTTCGGTCGCCTGCCAGAGGTTAGAAACCAGAAGGTAATCAAAACCCATTGTAATGGTGCTTGTCGTGGCTTACAAGAAGTTCTCAACAACAAGAATTTTCTCTTGCCGCTAATGATTAGACTGAGAGAAAAGCGCCGATGGGATCGAGTTCCTTGGCTGGCTTTTGGCGACGTCATTAAATTTCGCGTCAAATCGAGCGTGCGGGATAGTGCCTGGGTACCAGGCTGGTGTCTGCTTAGAAGGGCGGTCACTCAGTGAGGTTAGGGAGCTTAGGCAAACCACGACGACGAAGGCAACGTGAACGTCACAAAACGAAAGGTTTAATAAGCAAAACAATGGCTGTGCACGTGCGTTATAAATCTTTGTACATTTCTTTGCCGTCCTCTGCAAAATAACAACGTGAAATGACCAAGTTCTGTGTCGTCTACTTAACGTGGACGACGACGGCTAATTTTTCTTATTTCCATTTGGAATTGAACGCTGTCATTACATATTTAGCCTGCGCACGTTTTTAGAGCCATTCGGCGTATTGAACAGATCTAGACAATCGCGAATTTCGCTTGTAAAATATATATTCATTTTTTCCTAGGCGTCGTCGTCGTTGTTGCTTAAGCTGCCTGTTGTTGTTTAATTTACGACGCAACCCCCTGGTTAACGAACTTTGACAGTTCCGAAAATGTGTGTGAGGCAGATATAGCCATTCAGCGTTTCTTACATTTACTGTCAAACTATGTACCTGAAATCCTTGTTACTTGATGACCTCTTTCAGTGGATGTACAATTAAGAATTATTCATCTTTATCATAATGTCTGAATTCGTTATTGTTTTAACTTGAAAAAAGATAACATCCAGTGTCATCATCAAGATGTTGGTAACATCAAGTTGTTTGGCTGTTCTAAAACATACATGTAATAACCTAGCCATAAAAACGCGCAGAGTTGCAATGACTGTTCTTTTGCTCAAAAAGGCCAACAAAAATAAAGTCGGATATTACATAAGGTTGAAGATTATTTGTTTTTATTGCTGTGCAAACATTTTATCTGCTTTACTAGTCTAGAAAACGAACTCAGTACGAACCATCAGAGAGGCCCTGTTAGGGGGGTACCCATGTCCCCTGTCTGAATTTCGCCACCAGCCATGTCGGCATTTCGCAAGATTCCTTTGTCGCCTGTCGGAATTTCGTCTCAGAGGAGTTGTCACGGTCGGGAAATTTTAACTGGCTGATATAGAACACAAGATCATGAACAACAACAGTGTATGAGAGAACTGGCTGATATAGAACACGAGATCATGAACAACAACAGTGTATGAGAGAACTGGCTGATATAGAACACAAGATCATGAGCAACAACAGTGTATGAGAGAACTGGCTGACATAGAACACAAGATCATGAACAACAACAGTGTATGAGAGAACTGGCTGATATAGAACACAAGATCATGAACAACAACAGTGTATGAGAGAACTGGCTGA